CCATGATGCCCGGTTGCTGTTGAATTGCATACAATGCTCATATTGTGTGTACTTGTGGTAAGCGCACAACCTCACTATCTTCCTATATCTCACCGAATGTGATCTGGAGCAGCATTGGATCATCTTTGTTTTGCTTCTGACTGATATATATGAGTTATTATATGAACTTCTATGTGATTATTTCATATTGCAACAGTCCCTGTGCTTGTCATCTGTTCTCTAGCGCTACATACCCCATTTATAAATTTTATTCCAAGGTTTTGAGGTTTACCCTGTATGTTAGCTGCTCACCTGATCTGTTTGCGCTCACTTACCCACTTTTATATCTGTACTAATAAAAACTTTATTTTTCTACCATTCAATAAACCCTGTACATATGGTCTTCCACTTTCATCCAATAAAATAGGAGCAACATATTCTAATGGTAAAGGAGATGAATCTCGATTTGATCCTGATTCTAATTTGGCAATGGCAATAAACCATTCCTGTTAATGACAACAGCACTGTTTGCCATATTGCTTAACCACTTGCCCTCCTGAGGATTTACCCCACTTCATGACCAGGCCATTTTTTTGCGTTATGGCACTGCGTTACTTTAACTGACAATTGAGCGGTCATGCAACTCTGCACCCAAATTCAATTTACGTCCATTTTTTCCACAAATTGAGCTTTCTTTCAGTGGTATTTGATCGCCTGTGCGTTTTTTATTTTTTTCGCTATAAGCAAAAAAAGACCAACAATTTTGAATTTTTTGCTATTAACTATGTCCAGTAAAAAATTAAAAAAATGAACTTTCATCATAAATTTACGCCAGAATGTATTCTGCGACATGTCTTTTCTAAGACAAAATCCAAATATGTGTAAATTAATTAGTTTACGTGAAAGTTATAGCGTTTACAAATGGTGGTATAGATAATGGGATTTTTTTTTTCTACTAGTAATGGCGGAGATCAGTGACTTTTAGAAGGACTGTGGCGGACATTCTGACACTGGGGAGGAACTAACTTGATATCACTGACACCCCAGTGACACCAATACAGTGATTAGCGCTTAAAAAAAGCACTGATACTGTACTAATGGCACTGGGCAGGAAGGGGTTAATGTGAGGGACAATCAAAGGGTTAACTGTGTGCTGGGAGTGTTTTACTAGGGGGCGGGGGGGGGGTGCTTTATTGTAAGCACACTAATCAGGATGGGCTGTACTGTGCACAGTACAGTGTGCTCAAGCTGACAGGGAGGAAGATTGTTTGTAAACAAAACAATCTTCCTCCCCATATGAGATGCTCGATAATCACCGGGCGCCGGCGGGTAATTCTGCACACAGGTGCCGCCCTGTAGCAGTATATATGCTATAGGGCGGTCCTTAAGCGGTCAAGCTGTTGTTGACAGTTAATGAACTGATCATTTTGACTTCTGAGGCATAAGGCATCTCAATCAAACTATTGTTTGAACATGGAACAGTAGATTGCTCAGAAGTTGTTTTTTCATTTTCAAATGAATCTGAAGGCCACACACAGTTTGGAGGTCTTTAGCTATTGAATCTGCAGACAGTTGATGACTTCTGCGCACTGTGCGCTTCAGCATGTGCTGACCCCGCTCTGTCTTTCTATGTGGCCTACCACTTGGTGGCTGAGTTGCTGTTGTTTCCAGTTGCCTCCACTTTGTTATAATTCCACTAACAGTTGACCCTGGAATATTTAGCAGCCAGGAAATGTCACGGAAGGACTTATTGCACAAGAGGCAACCTATCACGGTACCACACTTGATTTCACTGAGCTCCTGAGAGTGACCCATTCTTTCACAAATGTTTGTAGAAGCAGTCTGCATGTCTAGGTGCTTGATTGTATACACCTGTGGCATGGAGGTGATTGGAACACCTGAACCCAAAGATTTGGAGGGGTGTCCCAGTACTTTTGGCAATATAGTGTATCTCACAGCTATATAAATGTATAGTAATAATGTGTGACTGTGGGGAGACATTAGAGTGTAAGCTCCTCTGCTACAGAGACTGATGTGACTGGCTCAGTGTTCTGCAGCAAAAATGCTAATTTATGCCTTAGGCCCCGCTAGTTCATGTTAGTGTCAGTGTTAGAATTTGTTTCAAGTGTAAACTTAGCCTTATGCAGGCCATAGATGGGTCGAAAATCGGCTGATTTTTCGGCCGAAAATAAAATCAGCCGATTTTCGGATTGTTAGTGGGTTAATAGGTCGGCCATTTTTTGGTATTTTGGCAGATTTTTTTTATTGGTAAAGTTTGAAAAAAAATCGTCTGATTTTGCCGATCGGCCGATTTTCGCGGCAATGATGGGCAAATCGGCCGATCTTTTTACCGATAGAAAATCTGCGCATGAGCAGTGATCTGCAAGAGGAAGACAAAAAGAAGAAGAGGATGAAGAAGAGGATGAGGAAGCAGAAGAAGAGGATGCAGAAGAAGAGGAAGCAGGAGAAGAGGATGAAGAGGATGAAGAAGAAGAAGAGGATGAAGAAGAAGAACAGGATGAAGAGGATGAAGAAGAAAAATTCCAGTCTGGCAAAAAGTGTCCCTGCAGAGAACTCCGTTATTTCTTTGACATTTATAGCGGCTGCAACAATGTATCTATTTGTTTCCGAATATAAACATCCGTATCCAAAATGGATACAAATAGATACAATGTTGCAGCCGCTATAAATATCAAAGAACTGTCAAAGAAATAGTGGAGCTCTCTGCAGAGACACTTTCTGCCGGCTGTAGACGGGATGAAAATCGGCCGATTTTTTTTTTTTACCGTTCCTGGTAACGTCGGCTGATTGAATGACCGATTTTTCATTTTTTAAAAAGAAAAATCAGCTGGTTTTCTCCCCATCTATGGCCTGCATTAGAGCCTTGCAATCTATCACATATTTATCGACAGGGTGTGTTGTGTGTTGGGGTTCCTCTCAAATAAATGGCACCTCATCGCACCAACACATTGTAACCTGTGAGTCAGCGCAATGCAGTAATGTGAATGAGCATCCAAGAATATTTTCTGTCTATAGCTGCTGAGATCCACATTTCTGATTAGAAACCAAAATCCCAACAGACGGATGGGTTAACCTGGAGTTGCAATGTAACAATCTGCAACTCTTAGAATGTAATGTAACAACTTCATACATTGCACTGATCACTGCTTCTATGTACTGTGCTCATAATGCCATCTCATGGTAGGGAGATGATAGTGCACCCAAAATAACTGGCTGGCTCAGTGTTCTCTGTACAGCACTGCGGTATATGTCAGAGATATATAAAGGTATAATAAATTATAGTGTGTGACTGTGTGGGGACACATTAGAGTGTAAATTTTTGTTTATTAAAATTCTTACAAACAGCATAATAAAAACATATTTACATATATACAGAATAAATTAAAATAAATAAACAAATAAACAAAAATAGCTTACTTCAGCATAGAGAATAGGAAACGGCTTTTTTGCCAATAACATTAGAAGCAGAACTGTATATACAAAACAAAACATATTTAATAATGTTATTATAATGCACCTTAAACTCTAATCTTAACTTAAACACCCCCTCAGGCTAAGAAATTATTAAACATTGAACCCATGCATGCAGCGTTTTCTGATCGTATAAAAATCTAGGGGACATGAAAGGACAGAGGACTAGGGGATGTCTAGGGGACGTGAAAGGACAGAAGGAAAAGCCACACATCCAGAGACTGACAGCAGCTATGGGGACCTGACATTCCTCCACACCTTTGTCCAAGCTCCCAGTCGCCCCCTGTCCTTCTCAAGACCCCGAATCTTCCAAACCTCACCCAGAATGTTGTGCATCACCACCTCAACAGAAAGGACTTTTTTGCAAATGCAAACCTAACAATCAAAATCCCAGTAAGACCACTCTGTGTAACTCAAGAGGGAAAGGAAAGGGATACCCAGAGCTGCTTCCATGAATGGGAAAATGGTCCATCGTCTCCTCCACCCCACCACAATCCACTCTTGGACTATCATGGTTCTCCGCAGAGTAATGCTTCAGGTTGTCCTTCACATAGAGTCTGCCATGGAACGAGAGCCAGGCCAAATCCTGTAACTTTAAAGGGATTCTCTCCAGATTCATCAAACGCAGACCCTCCCTCATAACAGGGCCTGTGCAATCCCTCAAGGCCAGAGGCTTGCTAAAAGCAGATTCAACAACCCTCTTCTCCAGGGCCTGCCTAGGAAGAGACTTAATTTCCTCCGCCATCACTCGTCACTGCCGAAGCATTTTCATGCATGAAGCAACATAAGCGGGGAACTGACCATGTTGGACCCTCAGGCTTTTCACTGGCCCACCATTTTTTCAGCTCCACACAAAAGGCCTAAACAGAAATGAAAAATACCAACCCACCCTCTGTCAGCATACTACCAAAATTATGTTTCAAAAACATCAGAGAAAATAAAACCACCAAGCTGACATTACATAGACCACCCATCAACCTGGGAAGGTAGGTTACAGAACTCTTAATGAGGTTCAGCCTGTTCCCCAATAACAACTGCAAGAAACAGCTGTAGATCTTCACATAGAGAAACAATGGCAAAACAAAGACAAAGCTGAAATACAGAAATACTGGAAAGAGGTAAGTTTTAATCAAGTCAATCCTTTCCCTGTAAGAGAGTTTCCAATCCTTCCAGCTGGCAACCTTGGCATTGGCATCTTGTAGCATGCTTACCTAATTTGCAAGGCCGTAATTGCCAGAACCAATTCTGATACCTAAAACTTTAATTTCCTGTCAGGACTCTGAGAAGGTGTCTGGTAGCTCAAAGCCTTCCACTTCCTCTCCCATCCAGAAGACCTTATCGCCCTTATACTGATTGATCTTTGTGCCAGATGTCTCAGCATACTGTTCGACCAGCGAGACCACCTCCTCCACCTCTTCTGTCCCAGAGATGAAAACAGACATGTCATCAGCATAGGCCACGACCCTCAGAGAAGGCTCCCCAGGAATGCCAAAAGGAACTCCACACAACAGTCCACTCTCTAACCTCCTAATGAAGGGATTGGTTGTGAACGCAGAGGACTCAAAGGACACCCCTGATCAGGGGCGGACTGACAACTCAAGGGGCCCCCGGGCAATAGGGGATCATGGGGCCCCTGTGTCCTTGCCCAAACTCAAAAAAGCCTATTAAAAAGGTACCAGGGGCATCTCATGGGGCCCCCTACTGACCCCGGGCCTTCGGGCAGTGCCCGAGTTTCCAAATGGTCAGTCCGCCCCTGCCCCTGATGCACACCTGAGCCAACCCAACGGCTGTCTGATCCAACTATTCACAAGTATGAAGCTTTCAGCCGCTCTGTATAAAGCTTTCAGCCAATCGATAAAGTCCCCCACCAGGCCATACTTGCCAAGAAGCAGTCATAGGTACTCATGATTGACTTGATCAAGGGCTTTAGACTGATCCAATGCCAGCAGGAACTTAACTCACACTGCACCGCTCCAGGGCCTCCTGGACAGCTAACACCTCTGAAAAAGTGCTTCTACCCTAAACGGAACAGTGCTGATGGTGAGAAAGTAAAATGCCTGCAACCGATGATAAACTCCAGAAAATTGCTTTTGCCGTTATCTTCCAATCAACATTGAGAAGGCTAATGGGTTGCCGATTCTAAACTCTCAAAAAATGTTTACCCTTTGACAGAAGAATCACTGCAGATTGTAGGGAGAGAGCGAACACTCCCTCAGACAGCCTTTAAAAACCTCCACCAAATACGGGGCCAGAGTAACCTTAATATGCTTATAAAACTCATTGTCAATCCATCTAGCCCAGGCGACTTCTTAATGGCAAGCTTATCAATAGCTTTAAACACCTCATCTGCCATGATGTCCTCTGTCAAACTCATAAGAGAACTGCCATTTTCCAGTCCTGGAGTAGAATCCAGAAAACATGACATGCTCGCCTGAAAGAGGTCCTTCCTACCCAGGAGGTCAGCATAATATGACCTAGTAGTTTCCAGGATCCCTGACTTGGACTTTGTCAAGGAACCTGTAATATCAACCAGGCCTACAACTGACTTAACTTCTCTACCTTGTTTGCAATTCTGGTAAGGGACAGGCAAGTGATATTTCCCATAATACCGTTCCAGAACCAAAGAGGCATGCCTGTCATATTGACACCTCCTGAGCAAGAGTTAGACCTCAGAGATCTTCCCCGGATCTCCATTATTTCAGACAAGCCTATCAAGCTTCCTTCATAGATGCTGGTAAGTAACATACCTGTCAAGCTGTCTATTTCTTCCTATGGCTTTGAAAAACTGAACAATCCTTTATTTTGTATGCTCCCACCACTCTGACTTACTGCTGCAAAAGTCCATGATCGATACCTGTGCCTGAAAAAATCCTCAAAGGATTGACTCACCTTCTCATCATCCAGCAGTGCCAAATTCAGCTTCCAGGTACCCCTCCCCCTAGGTAGTCTATCGGGGCTATTCAGTGTCACAGACAGAATACAGTGATCAGAAAACTCCACCGCTTGACACACTGGTGCCGAGAAGACAGAGTTCCTCTTTTAAAAAAAAACTCTATCTATTCTGCTCTGACTAGCACTTCGCTGAAAAAAAAAACCCATTGCAGTCCAGCCTGGCTCTGGTACCTTTCCTGGCCTTAGTCCTAGTAAACTGAAGACAACTTGCTGGGCTGTAAAAAGAAAAGGCTTGATCTTCATGAAGAGGCATTTCCTGGCCCCTTGTCTGGGGCCCATATATGTTAATCAGGTGCAGGTCCTGCCCCCCCATGGAGCTGTCTAAGACCATGCATCTCCCCATTGCTACCTTTTTTCTGGCAGGTTACCATGCCAGAAAAAAGTACTGCAACTCCAGTGTAAGGCTCGGTCGCAAGAGACCAAAAGGAGGGGATGCGCCTCCACTCCTTCTGCGCCAGATGAATGCCAGACAAACTAGACAACCTGGTCTCTTGCAAAAAGAAAATATCAAACCTTTTGCTGGGCGAAAATAAGACCATGTTACGAGCACTTACTGATTTTATGCTGATGACATTAATGGTCGCCACCTTCAAAGGAGCAGGAACCTCCAATAGGATGATTGAAGTACACGTTTCTTAGCCTACTTATCCCCCTCCCTACTTGGAGACCCTGCAGACTTCAGTGTCCTCTGTGATTCCTCCTTCATGGAAATCACTGACTCATCACCTGGAATACCCTCACCCTCCACCTCAGATAATACCTCAAATGTGTTCGACACCTCCACTATCCCAGGTTCTGGTACAGGCACATCTTTCTTCCTCTTCTTCCTAGATTTTCTTTTTGCCTCCAACCACTCCATATCATCATGTGACAACCTCGACTGCAAAGCCCCCCTCCCCTTTCATTCCACCATCACCCGCAACATCATCCACCCCACACTCTCGCCACAGCGGTCCCCCCCCAAACCGAAAGGTTCTTCCACTTAAAGGAGACTCCATTTCAATAAAAAACTTTAGCAGCACTCCACCATTTTCCACTGCCTGCTGTGCTGTTCCTCCAGCTGGCTGGGGAGGGAGTGAGGCAGAGGCCACAATTTCTTCCAGTGAAACAGATCCTGAGGTGGATGGGATAGCAGGAGCAGCATCCAGGACCCCCTCCTCTCTCCACCCATACTGCCACTGCCGATGGTGAGACTTTGTCACGATTGACATCTCCCTTCATTTTTCTGAACCTTTCCTCATTCTGGAACTTTTCCTTGAATGCTCCGTTTTTTTTTCCTTCAGTTCTTTGACCAGACCCTGCTGCTTCTTTATGGTGTCCTTCAAAACTTTCAGCTCTGGCTTTAGACTCTGACACTTGCTGCTCCATGCTTTATCGTGTAAAAATTTCTTTCTTGTAAACTGCTTTCAAGCTTATCAGCTTTCTCTCCTTCTCTGCAATACGAACCAAACGGTCAGCAACCCGCTCTCTGAAGGCAGTAAGGGATTCCCCTTTATTAGGGTCACATCTAAGGTCTTCAGGTGAATCTTGAGTGTGCAAGTTGGGTCCCTCAGGGGGAACATTGCCTGGGTCATTCCCAGAATCATCCACCTCCACTGGGGCCAGGCAGCAGGCAGACCTGGCCTCTTAGTGTCTGGAGAGGGAGAGCTACAGCACAAGCAACCTCTCTGATGCAGAGACTGATTTGACTGGCTTGGCGTTCTCTGTACAGCACTGCGTTTTATGTCAGAGCTATATATATATATATATATATATATATATATATATATATGAATAAAAATGTAGCCAGGTGCAAATGGACTTAGGTGTGCTCAGCCTTCTCCCCACCTCCCTTGCTGTTGTGCTTTGCCATCTGCTTGAGGAGCAGGCTGTATGCTCCTGTGCCCATTCCCCCTTTCTCTTGCCTCCTGTCACTGTGTTACAGAGAAGCTGTGTGTATAGCAGACACCTCTCACAGTGGGCTTCCCTGCTGCAGTTGTACTTTCTCAAAGCAGCTCATGTTATTCTCCCACTTGACACTAGAGTGCTAGCTCCTCTGGTACAGAGACTGATATGACTGGCTCAGTGTTCTCTGTACAGCACTGCGGAATATGTCAAAGTTATATAAATGTATTGGAAGATGTTCCTTATCTTCCTCTCCTGGTGTCCCTATTTAAAGACTGACCTTGCAAGCCACCAACACCTCTGACTCCCTGGGTTCAGACATAATACACACAGGAAACAGATGCGCACACATACTTGAATGGAGGAATGCACTTGAGTGTTTACTAAGAATTATTCAGCCAGTAAACAGTAAATAACATTTATGAGAATACCTGTTTAGGCAGTAACCACCTTGCTGGAAACTCAAACTGTGAACACAGGTGACTTGGCAGAGATAAACACAATAAATCAAACAGGGTTTCAAATATGGTCAGTAAGGTGCCTCTGATCTCAGGTAGAAAAATAGAAAGTATCAGCCTGCTCCCTCAGAATCCTGACGCCACAAGCCCCGAAAACAGCACACTCTGTATATTAAAAGTATGAGCTATGCTTTAAACAGTTTTAAACAGAGTCCCTCTTTAACATATGTACCGAGTAAAGTACAGAGTCCTGGGTCTTCAGCTAGCTCAATAAGGACCAAAGGATTGCTGTGCAATGGCGACCAGCAATAATAGGTGTTTTATGTACTGTAGATGATTCCAGGTAAGGGTCACAAACTTGTAAGAAGCTGAGAGGTATAAAAGGGGTCTTCCAAGAAAATAATTACAAACTGTACTCAAGATGGTATAGAGTTTCTCTCTTTACTCCACAGATTTGATCCTAGTATCCCCAACTCCTGTTGGAGATGTTACCACGCGATTGGTACACTTCTACACATATGGTGGGACTGCCCAATGCTCCAACCGTTCTGGAGCAAAATACAATCAATAATTGCTCAAGTACCAACTTACTCCCTAGACCTATCTCCTGCACAATTCTTACTACATCACTCTTCGCTCTCCTTTAAAATGTACTTCAAGTCACTCGCTATGCATATGGTGAATGCTGCCAAGCAGTGCATCCCGATACATTGGCGCTCTACACACATCCCCTCAGTCCGGGAATGGTTTGCTCACATACACAAAGCTGCCGAAATGGAGGAACTCATCTCTGTAGTAAAAGACACCCCCGAGAGAGGTTCAGGAAAACGTGGGCATGCTGGAGTCTTTTTAAAACAACAGCCGCTTATCACCAATTGCTGCAAGACCCCACCCCTTCATCCACTTCAACATATCTCTATAGACACGAGGTATACGTAGCTATCTCAGGTGTCATGTATATAATTTACACCCGACTTGACTGAGACAAATAATAGAGCCCATGTACTGCTGGGACTGACATATATCATGGAATACAACACATGTCAACCAAGATTGACATACAGGGCCTCTGACTGTTACTCTGATTACCATGAATAACTTGACCCGGAGCAGTTGCAGCCCTCTCTCCTTCCCCCCCCTCCCTTTTTTTTTATCTCTCTTCCAATCCTCTCCCCCTTTTTTCCTCACTCTCTCTATCCTACATTCTTACTATTCCCTTCCCACTTCCTTGTGTTTAGGTGAACTTCGATTACCGGAAGACCCACAGGTACAAATACAGTTTATAAGCTTCCAC